TGCAAGACATATCTGTACAAATTTTGCTTATTCAGGGCCATTTTTGGAAAATAACGAATACCATAATTGGTGAGGTAATTTATTTTTGCAAAATTTATGCTGTATTTTATTGAATGCGTTATTTATGAAGTTAGGCACTGCCCACTACCGTCTTAGAGACACTAATTTTGTTTAATTTTACAGATAATCATCGGTGAAAACTCTCCTCTCTTGTCAGGACGGAAACAATGGAAGTCCGTTTGCAAAGATGGCGAAGAAACGACAGTATGGCATCGTCTAATTAAGTACGAACGCTCGGATCATGAAAGGCGCTACAGTCGATAAGTTGGCATGCGCAAGTCATTTTCATCAACTGACGACAAATTTATTTTCATGTAAATAGCATGCTTCAGTAAATCGCTGCTTTTACTCGAGATGCGGTGGTTCTTTCCAGTTTCTGATTGTCAGGCTTACAGTATGACAGTTATGCATAAAGTGTCAAACTACTAGGACGTTCGATATGTTTGTGATTTTCGTGTGGGGCTCCATAGCGAGGAGGAGGTATATTTCAGCAGATAAGCACTTCGTATTCAAATATATCCAGTTCACGGTGATGCCCTTTTCATCGAGCGACTCCGCAGCAGAGCGCCAATGAAGTGGAGCCTGAATTCCGAAGAGCGGAAGCAGCTAGCCCGCACCTGGTTGTTAACAGTCCAATTTATCCACAGATCAAAGGGTTGCCAACCTCGGAGATTAAAGTGGACACAGCTCACTCTCCTCCAATGATTGGGCAGACTCAGACACATCAATAACATCTTAGGAGTTAGTGTTGAATCCAGGTCTATCTCCTCAACTGTTGAGTTGTCTCCTGTAAAGGAGGAATGTTCACGAGGGAGCAGGGAAAATTCGTTTCGCAGTTGCCAACCAGCTCTGTTGGTTCTGACGTGATTACATGATGTCCCATTCTAACCAATGAACAATACTGGTAGGGGTTTCTTCGTGATACCGAAATCACAGACAGTGTGCTTTGGTGAACACCATCACTGTCACAGAAGCCATGAGGCTTATTTGCCACTGTCCTTGAGTAGTGCCAAGCAGAGCACCGATCACGTAATTGAGAGAAACCAGTCTTGACCAACGATATAAGTAGTATGTCACAAGTAGTATTTCACTCTTTGTGACCACCGTGTTAACATGTTCAGACAAAGAAAGTTGTTGGAGATGGAAAGGCTGAGGAATTTCTTTGAAGAAACAACTTTTGGCTGGAAAAGGCAGGTGAAGAGCAGTTTTACGAATTGAGTGCTACCTCATGAGATGTAGTTGTTAGCTCATTTTTTATGCACAGAGCAAACATGTCATTCGCGAGAAAGAATCCGTCCTTAAATGCCTAATGCATAATGAAGGTTTTGAAAACTATTGGAGATAAGTCATTTCTAGCGCAGATTGCCATAGTGCCGGAATGTAGGTGCGATTATTCAAGCGGATGTTGAAATACCCCGTAAACAGTGGGGTGGGAGTTGTTAAATTTCTTAGTTTCTGACTTCTAATTTCTAAGTGTTAC